CAGGGTGGTGGTATTTGGCAGAATCTTGAGATTGTAGGTGAAATCTCCTCTGCTCTTCTTAGCCATCTCCTTTAACAGGTCCACCAGGTATCCAGTGTCTTTGTCTTTGAAGAAGATGCTGTCCTGAAGTTGAAGAAAGAAGTAAATTGTTTAAGTTTCGATATGTGGTATTATGTCAATTGCAACAAGAAATGCAAAGTTGTTGCACTAGTAGCCTCTACCAGGCTTCGCTAGGCGGCTGGAAAGAGTAGAAATTGACCAAGAGAGATAACTTGCCGGAGGAGTTGGTCCGCTAGAGAGTACAGTTTGCCGCACCCGAAACACTGTACTCTCTAACGGACCAACTCCCCTGGCACGTTATCTCTCTATTAGCCAATCTCTTATCAGCCACCGGTACCTTCCTAAGCCTGGTAGAGGCTAGCACTAGCATTAACGAATGAATGATTAACGACGTCTAAAGGGTACGTAACTCACTTCGAAAGCCACGACATTGAACGTCTTGCGACGGGACAGATTCCAGTTACTAGCAGTAACAGGATTCATATACCCGCTTCTCGGTAAGGCAGCATTGACTCCTAGCGAGAGTGAACCAACCTGCAGGTGGGATTGTAGTTTGGGTGATTAGTATTCAGACAGCAACTTGGTGCAAAAACTTTCATAGTACCAATAATCACGACAACAGCCAGCCCTCTTCTTGATCATTATCAATACACGAACAACACTGTTCTTGGTGCTGAACACCCAATACATTTGCAACAAGTCCTGTCCTTGGTGCTGAACACTATCAATTCATGACAAATAGTCCTGTCCTTGGTGCTGAACACTATCACTACATTTGCAACTAGCCCTTCCCTTGGTGCTGAACACTTGGTGTGTTACGCCGAATGGCGGTTATACCGGCTATACAGATACAGATAATACATGAGCAACTAGCCCTGTCCTTGGTGCTGAACACTATCACTACAACCATGTCCTTGAAAAGTATTTTTGTCTGCAACTCACCGACTGAAACTTAGACTCTCCATGAAACTCCAAGACCTCCATGGTGATGTTGCTCCGGGCACCGTCAGAGTCAAACGACACCATGCCTGTCTTCCCCTCAAACGGTAGCCCCTGTTTCCAAAAACAATCATAGATAGTAAAATCATATTTTCAGCGAATACTGTGTCTACATCATATCAATTATACCAGTACGATAATGTATCATATACACACAAACAAGTTATCTCTAAGAACATGCAGCATTGTCAAGCAGCAGTTGGCCTTCCTGGGACATGCCTCCCGAGCTACACAGGACGTCATCAAACACTTAAGGAACTGGAGGTCACCAAAACTGACAAGAGGGTCTGTGCTAGAAAAAGAGCCGCCTGGCGGGACCCGTGCATGGCTGCAGCCGCCATGCATCAGAACCTGGTACCTGCGGATGATTGGTTAAAGTTACCTAGGCGCGCAATAACTAGTAAAGAGAGTCTAACCTGTGGTAGGTACGAGATAATGCTCCGTTGACAGTTCTCTACGCTCCCTTCCCCAGTCTTCAGCGCACGTACACCCCTCGCGAAGGCAGTGATGGCATCGTCCACCAGGAGTGGGTAGGGGCTCATGTTGTTTGGTATAGCGTACTGGAACGCGGTTATTCGTGCTTCGGGACGGACCAGACCAGCCAGATCTTCATTCCACTGGTCCAAGGTTCCCTAAACGATACAAACAGGTTTTGGCTTTATCCACGCGTCACAAATTAGATACATTAGAACCATTCTATTCACTATGAGTGATGTAAAGTCCTGAGTGACAAATGTGCTTGGTGATGTACATAAAGCCAACAGTCATCTGCATACATACAAATCCATACCTTACTGTTAACAGTACTTGCCTATTTCTGGCATGTTGACCACTGCCAGAGTGATACAAGATTTTTCTCAAAATCAGGCGAAAATTAATGCACGCCCTGATGTCATCCATAAAAATGACTTGCTGTGGCCTTATCACCAATAATAATGAGGTTATGATAGTTAAGTGTCATACTAGGCAGGAATGTAAAGTTGACTTTCTAATAGTATGAAGAAAAAACTCCAAACTGACCGGATGTGTGACCATCCAGTGATAGTACTGGTTCACCATGTCCATTTGAGCAGCCTGAAGAACAAACGTTATATAAAACAACACGGTGACATTTGAAATATGGTAACACTTGACTACATTACATGTTACTAAGCATATGAATCTATGTTATCACTACCATATACAGCCTAGATCTGTCCTTTTACTATAAAAAATATGTCGATGATCTATTGGTTATATAGTTACTGATGCTTGGCTAAAAAAGCTGCAAAAAACAACAGAGCATACAGAATCTAGAAATAAGTGCACAAGACACAGCTTTGTGACTAGAAAGGTAACATTTGCAAAGCAAATGTGTAATGTTTACCTTCCCATATGCTCTGTTAATTCTTACTCAAACACATTCACATACTCGTATATGGTGACAGGAGTCTGAATCCCTCCTACTATAAAATTACAACATTATGTAGTCCAACACCAGTTACCATGGTAAGAGACAGTCTGGTCATTGGTCATTGACCAGGCCAGTGTTAAGAACGGAAGAAGAAGAAGAAGCAAAAACAGTATGTTTTCCTTCAGTAAACATAACAAAAATACGCGGCACGAAAAAAGATACTGCATTACCCACTTTTCTGATCACCACCTTGGTGACATCCGGCTCCGCGTGTAAGATGATCCTCCGGATTCCGGAAGCCCGGACCTGTAACAGCGTGTTAGTGACGTCACTGTCCGACACCACGCCGCGGCCTGGCAGGATGTACAGGCCCATCGGGATCCGGTCGTCTGTGTTCTGTGTCAAAACATGCTCCACACCTTCCATGTCTGCAACAAAAGGGTGGCAAGGGGATTACTGTGGTCCATCAACAACGTTGAAAATAGAGAATGGCAACACTACTAGTCAATTCTTTATTGTGTTTACCGAAGGAAAACATATTGTTTTTGCTACGTTTCATCCTCTTCTTCTTCTCCAAACACTGACCTCTGACCTCGTCAATGACCTGGTAAAACATATATTTGAATAGTCATCTCATTTCCATGCACAATTCTATCATTTGTATGTTAATTGTCTGAGCCTTCATTCTTGAAAAACACACAAGCCGGCTTACTTATCATTGAAGTCTCTCCTACGATTTCAACCATAAATACAAATCGGCTCCGCCCCTGAGGCGTGGTAAAAAATAGCTGGGAAGCACTGTAGTTCTTACCGTAGACGCCGTCGTGGATGACCGCCAAAGACTGCCATCCGTACGCACGCGTAATGGTGCTCACCATGACGTGTGTCTTCTCGTTCCCAGGGAGAAGGTAGTAGTTGTAGTCACTGCGGGACACACGCCGGTGGATGTAGAACCTGCACATACAAACACAAAATTTGAAAATATTTATGATATTACATACACAATACAACACAACAAGCATCACTTACTCTCATCAATCCAGCAAGTATGATTTGCAGCAAATACATGGTCCATCTTGCCAAATAGTACTCGATTGTGAAATCAATAATGTTAATAGGTACAAAGCCTAAGCCTAAAAACACTTGATTAGCTTGTTGATAAAATTGATGGATCATCTTTCAACCTCTCTGGCAGACGACAGATTTACTAACAATATGTTTTAACACTACATAATATTTCTGATATCTGTTCGTGATGCGATATGATATAAGTTGTTCACCGTTAAGTGACCATCCCGTACGCTGTACTTCAATACATGAAGTCCAATTAAGGAAAAAGATTTGTTTCCGATCTCACCTACCTCGGGATCGGATCTGTTGTGACGTAAGCAAAGATATCGTCGAGTCGTTTGTGATATTCTTCATCGCCCACTAGAAACAGGCCGCAGACACCCTGAGCCAGTCTCTTAGCTACACAAAACACAAAAGTACTCAACAGAGGTATAAACACATTGATAAAAGCCTGGCCTACATCTTGCGTAAGACTTCACGTTTATCTCAAAAACTTTTTAATTCTGCCGTTAATATTCATTTTGAAAGAATCCCATACTGAGGGATGTTGAATGCGGCATTGCACTATGCTGGTAAGTCGAATGGTGGCGCGCTTGAAACATTTCTTCCAGCATCACCAAACACGTCAAGCCAGCTAGGACTGCCAGTACAATACTAATATGATTGCACGCTTTAGTGATCGTCAAATTGGATTTGGGCTACTTGTGGTAATTTCATCAATAGAGTGAAATTTGATAGTTCCTGGCCATTAGCTAATAAAGCCAAAGGTATTACATATTTGGCGCCCTCCCAACCCTTTTAGAGTTTTCCTGTTCAAATGATATCCATTGGGAAACAGGTGTTAACTAGGGCGTCAAAGAATGGAGTTAGAAGGAGATTCTAACTCCATGGTCTAAGTAAATTTGAAGGAAGTTTCCAGACCAAAATATTGCACAATTATACCCATTACAAGCTACCTTTCCTGGCGAAGGTTATAAAACGTGCCACTTGTTGTGCACCTGAAATGCTAATATATACGAAGCTTTGTAACTCATTTTTTATATATACAAATGTAAATATATGCATATACATGAAATACACACGTTTAAGGCAAATGATTGCAGAGTTCAGTACCTCTCTGTGCCATCTGTACCCGTGTCTCTCCCCCCACGATGTGTTCAGTCGTCATCTGCAGCGACACGCCGACTTTGTTCGCCTCCTCCCGGGCTGCCCACGCCGCCGCCACGTTCTGCGCGCATCGGGACGTCCCGCCCTCCACGCAGCTTCCGTCAGGGGGGGCTATCAGGACACCTGAACATCGAACAAATGAGTTAGAGACAGGGAAAAAGGGAGAGAGAAAGGAGAGAGAGAGGGAGAGGGAGAGGGGAGAGAGGGAGAGAGGGGAAGAGAGAGTGAGTGGGTTAGCGAGTGAGTGAGTGAGTGAGTGACTGACTGACTGAGTGTGTCTGTGTGTGTTCATGCATGAGTATGTGTGTGTGTGTGTGTGTGTGTGTGTGTGTGTGTGGTGGGGGGTTAAGTGAGTGTGTTTGTTTGTTTGTTTGTTTGTTTGTTTGTTTGTCTTTGACCTACTGAAAGTTTTGAGAAAAAAAAGCGCTAAAGCTAAGTTTGCCAGCCTAGAATAAAAGAAGACACTCGCCTATCCTAACACGATCCGACTTGACAACAGTCGACGCTCCTGATAGGATGACGAGGAGAAAGACTGTTCTCAGTCTCGCCATGGCGTCTGGAAAACACACGGCATGAGACAACTCTTTACTGGGTACAACATTCAGTGTCATTTGCCACCTTTTCATCGTCACGCCCACTTGCCTCCTATTTCCATTCTCCATTTTCTTTTCCCCACAACAAGTATGCGAGTAAAAATCCCACGTTCGTCAGTTTCTGATCACTGTAGTTCTGTAATTCACTTCCTGAGTACAGTTGTCTCTTTGTAGCTAGGGCGAAACGTTAATAGAAGTGTACTCGATTTTATGTATATTTAATGTATAGTCGTTATTTCTCAGGGTCTTGTCGCATACGTTACACGATCGCAGTACGATCACAAACTGATGACATTCTTGAGATAGTCTTGCATGTGTCGTACGAATAAGGTTGTCTTACAAGGTTCGGAACCTTGTCGGTTGTTGGTTCTATCACAGTCCGTTTGAAAATCTTACGACATCTAGATCGTATAACGATCTATGACAAATGCATCCTAGCCGTTAGCTTGCAGCTTGCCTTTCAATTAAAAATGAATATTCGCTCAATATGCTGTATCAATGATATTCCATTCACTCTTACAAATAAAAAAAATTTCTTTAAAGATAGCTGTAGTAGCAATCTAAAGCAAAGAAAAACACACTCCATGCAATGAAAGATCTTGACATGAATTGACATTGGTAGAAATATGATGAACTATCATTTGTGGCATAATATAGATGCCGGTCATATTACACATCGTAAAAAACATAGCGGGAAAATTTTTACCTGAATTCGGGTCTAGATGTCCGTGATCTTCGTCCCCGGCCCGTGGTGTTTTACAGGTGGATCCTCCAGCGAACTAAACCGTGGATTGCCACATTACAGGACCTCACCCGGAAACGACATCCCAAATCCTCCATCATCTAATTATCGCCATTATCAGATCGATAAAGTGCTCTTATCGCATATTAATTAGATGAGGTTAATTGCTTCATTAAAGATGGATGATATTGAATTATTGGGGCCATTAAGCTAGAGTGCACATGTGGGCGACACCATAGAATAGACATAAGTGCAGTTTCTTGGTAAGACGTTTTCAATAATTCAACAAATGAACAAATTGAAGAGCTTTGCTGAGACGGTTACTAAGATGTTAGTAGCAAATATGTGTAAATATCTGGCGAGCTTAAAGATAGTGCAATATCTTGTGTTAAGGGTTTTATCGCATTTAGGACGCTTTATACAAGGCAAACCCATTAGATCTTCGATCATTCTAGCCTCCTACCGTTTTTAATGCTCGTGCACCGGTCGCACAGTTTCAAGTAACGTTACATCTAACATCTTCATTATAAATCTATATAGAAAGTCGGCTTCTTTCATAACTTAATTTGTATCACTGCTGACGTAGATACATGGAAATATATTGTCTGCGTAAGAACGGAAGATGTCTACGTGTTTTCAGGAATAGAAACTATAAATTCATAAACTTTTAATTGAATTACGTTCGTACGTTCCTACACAGCATATATACTGCTTGATACAAACATGTACAGTCACCGTAAGGTAAAACGTAAGGCATACGGCCAAGTTGAGGCCTTTGTCTCACTGATCTTTTGTCAGGCCCTATGGTACGATATCGAGTCGATAAATAGCATTTCGGTAGCCCTTATGCTTGGTTGTTGTATTTTTGACAAGATTATTAATTGTCTACCAAAGGTTCAGTAATAGGATTACTGACGGAATTAAAAGTTAATAGATAAAACTGAAGTCTTATGTACTATGTACTATGTTCCGTAGAATGAATGAATGAATGAACTTTATTGCTCGACAATCGTACATGGTACAATGTGTGGCAGTAATACAACAATACTTATAAAACTAAACTATCTTATTACATTTCTTACTACAAACTACTATCTATACATTATATGAGTCACAATATGTTCATGAATTGATGATTTGGTCTCGCTTATGAAATAAGGTGTACAGAAATTGACCTACGTAAGCAGATATGGTAGTAGGACATGACAATAATTCATAGAATGTATCGTACTGTGTACTAGATTGGGTGAACTTTGTCTTAGTAGTAATAGTCTGTAACAATGTATCTCTTTCTTTTCTATAGGTGGGACATGTCATAACAAAGTGAAATTCATCTTCAATATTCTCATTACATGTGGGACACAGTCTCTGAGTGGCTGGTGTGTTGTGGTGTCGACCTTTTTCGATTTGAAGACAATGTGCGCTGATTCTCTGCTGAATTTTGTTATGCTAGTTGTGAACGATTTATTATAAATTGATGTGAGATAATCTTCCATGCCAAAATGCTTTTTGATTTTAGAATATGTATGAAGTTTACTAGTGTTTCTAAGTTGTTCTCTCCAGCCAGAAAGAAACGTGTCTTTCAGACGCTCTTTAAATAATGAAGTATTTACATGCTAAGGAAAATGTAATGCTCTCGTGATACATGCAGGAACACCGGTAATGCTCAGGAAGTAACATCCCCAAAGATGCATCTGTCAGTATCCACATCAATCAACTGTGCCACTTCGGGAGTTATTTTAATCCCAAGCCACTTCTTCAGCTCTTGCGCGCTTCCGATTGTTTTATTCCTCCCGGTTCTGCTTGACTCATGCTGATTCGTAATAAATGTGCAGGAGCATTTGGAATACCAAGAACAAACCAAAACACGACAAAAACCACAAGACATGTTCCAGTGGCATTTTATTTCACAGCTACACATCTGCACAATCATCAAAGTCTTGAATACACTTTTTTGTTTGAAGTTAGACAAAGCATATTTAGAAGTCCTAACGTTCTGTCATATCATATTTTATTGCAATATTGTAAGTCTTTCAACGACTAACGTACATTATATCTTTCTAGAGGATCTGCCTACAACCTTCTGCATGCTGTTTTTCTTGTCTCGGGAAACGGCTTCATCAGTCATGTAGCGGCAATAGCTTTCTGTGATATACATATTGATACTTAAGCTAATCTGTGTTTACTAAGTCTAAATGTACATACATCTATATTGTCTTTTTCGGCGTTCTTTACATATCGTCATCTTGCATAGAATTACGTCAGTCTTTTTAATGCACTTGCGTTGCACATACATGTACGTGTTTTATTTCGCGTCTTTAGAGCATTTTCGTTTTCTTGTTATCAACTGAAAACTGTCTTATAGTTTTACTACGTCTACATAGTTGTTGTCTTCAAGTTCTTCACGTTGTTTTTCCATCTGCCTCATGCACTACATGTAACATATAACGCGTGATCTCCATTTTTTTGGCTACGCCTCAGGGGCCAAGCCTATGGCGTCGAATTGGTTTTGTGTGTATCATAGTGCGAACTCTACTGGAGGTTCGGGAGGCGGGCGGATGATGTCCCCGCGTTCGCTCCTGTGCACGTTAACGGTGTAGCTCAGGGCCTTCCCCGGGGCGGACATGTCGTCGTCCAGGGGAGGGGACTCCCCGAGCCCGGTGTCGGTGGAGCGCGCGCCGTGCATGCGGTAACCAGCCCTGTCCACGTCATCGCCGCCGTCCGCCATGTTGGGGTCATGACCTGATGACGTCAGCCGCATTCCGCGGCCGTTCTGGGCGAGTTTGTTGTCCGAAGTGGGGATGACCGACACGGTCACCCGGTCCTGAGACAGCGGCCCGCCGCGGTACGGCAGCGGCCCGCGCGGGGCACTGGGGTTGACGAACGGGGGGCTGTTGCGGTCTAGAAAGGGGCTGCCGGTAGACCCCTTCTGGGGCCGAGGAGCTTCAACGGAAGGCTTACTGGATTTTCTGAACAGGGACGACAGACGCCTGAAGGCGATGGAGGCCGAGGAGCGACGGCTGGGCTTCTGGTCTGGTGTCTTGGGTGGGTGCTGAAAAAAATGGAACAGGAATGTATTGAGATGTATGGATTTGTTTTCTCACACACAGACTTTTTTCAGTTAAATCACCTACTATTGGCGTTTCGACTGTTGTACGGTTTGACTTTTGCCTGTGTCTAATTGTTGTATGTAATGTTTGAAATATACATGTGTACGAAAGCATCAGCTGAATTTGCTGCCTAGTGCTTCACGCTTATTGCCGTTGCAAGTTGAAGAAAGAAGAAGAAAAGAAATGGCTCAATATTTATAGCTACTAATAAAACAGAAAAGTGCACAACTTCCTAAAAATCGCTAATATTGTACAGTTAATAATGAACCACATCCTTTGAGGCCTGGACAAGGAAACATGGCAAAAAGAAAATGTAAGCAGCACAAGAACATTGCCAGACGAATAGTTACCAGTTTCTCAAACTCTTTGTCCCTCTTATGGAAGAACCAGAGAAATTCCACCACCGCCACGAAGATGGCCACGCCCATGGCCACGCCCATTCCGGCAAACACCACCGTCAGGTTCTCTGGCGCGATCACTCTCGTTCCCAGGGGGTCGTCGCCGTTACAGTTACAGGAGTCATACGTCACCGTCATCCACTTGTTCTGGAGCTCCTCCAACACGCCTTCTTCTTGTAGTCTGCGGGAAAAAACGTTTAACTGTTAAGCTTTGACGAAATCTGTGTCGGTATAGCCGGTCTCACCGCCCTTCGGGGTAACACACCAGCTTCGCAGGCACGCGGCGCGGCGGCAGCTAGCTATATCACACCAAACGACCTGTTACACCCAATCTTTGCACATCAAGGTTGTACACAACCGTAGAGACATTGTTGTATCGAGAACTGTGATTTATTTAGAATCATGTTCAGGAACGGTACTGTCACTGGGTAGTCCACGCGTATATTGAACCGTGTCTGAGGCAAATATAAGTTTTTGGATACGCGGAGACTATCCAGAACCGTGCTTGATCCTATAAAGCCTAACCCATTCAGGCACAGAACTAGATAGGCATATTTCTGAATACAATTGACACAATAATTCAGACCAAGGAGGTTAAAAATCTAGATATGGTAAGTTGTTCTGACATAACACAAGTAGATAAATGTTAAAGAAGCATGCAACATTTTCGTTTGTAAAGTTTGGACATACATGTATGCATACACGTACTTCCACTGCACCACCGCAATATCTTATCATCACTAAGGAAGATTGATTTTTGCGAAATAAATGTGATTTGAAAAGCAAATAAGTGGTACTTTGTACATAACATTGTTTTGTATTCACTTAGTCCACTCTAAAATAGTCGAATCAATGATAATCTAATTCAGAAAATCGATCAAATGGACATAGAGCCATGCTAGAAAACTTCCAAGCTTCTAGCTGTTGTAATGCGGTATTTTTCTCGGAGACAGGAGGACGAATATCACCTTTGTGGGGTCGTGTGGCGAACCGAAAGAGCTTTTGAATCGGTATCAAGAGGTCCCGAGTTCGAATCCTGCCATGCCACTAATCTTGCGTCCTTGGAAATTTGAAAAGCACTTTACACAACTTTCCTCAATTTACTCTGATGAAAATGAGTATGTTTGTTGTCCGTCCATGCGTTTGTCTGCGTTGGTGGCGGCATAAAAGTAAGTTGAAGAAACTTGAGTGTGCCGTCGCCGTGTCTTGTAATAAATGTTGGAATAGAAAAAAAGGACTTTCACCTTAGGATTTCCTTGGTGAACTCGTCGTGAAAGATGGACCCCTTGGGGAAGGCGAGTCCCAGGCCGTACGGAAAGAAGTAGTTCCCCGCCGTCTCCAGCTGGCACTGGTCCTGGGCGAAGAACTGGATCTTGGAGTGAGTGATGAAGGAGTAAGGCTTCCACTCGGTGTCGGAGTAGGAGCCCGGAACGCTGACGTACACCCCCTTCTGTACCTTCTCTACTCCCGTGTTGTCGGTAGGGACCACCACGTCCACCCGGTTATCCTGAAACAAATGGGAAGACACCACGGTTAGGGTTTCGGATTGAAACCTATGCAAAAATAGACAAAAAGGGCATCATGTCTCAACTTTCTGAAGTTTTGGTCACACAAAGTTACCTTCATGTCTTAGCCCATTTATTACTATGTATCTACAGGCCTTTTCGGGAAATTCTGATTGGCGAGGCTCGATCTAGAGCTGTATCTCTACACAGTTGGTGCACTTTAAACCCATATTTCAGGTCGATGCAAGGCGTTAGGCAGAAGAGGTGTGAGGTAACAGAAAGCTCCATTCTTTTTGCAAAAACCCTTTCACACAAACGTGAGCACAGAGGAAGAGATGGAAAGAGAGAAATAAAGAGCTGGTTTAGTCGCACTACTGCTACTTCGACTGTTAAAAGATGCATCCCAAGATAGCTTCTCACAAGAGGTTACTTACACTGATAAACTCGTGCATTTCCCTGAATGGTTTGAAGTCCTCGTCTGGAACCTTCCCGAACGCCTCGAAGAAGCTGCGGACGGGCGGGAGGAACTTGTTGATGCCGTACGCGACGTCCCGGCGGTTGTGCAGGTCCTCCATGCCGTGGATCTGCAGGGCGGAGGGCGCCACCAGCAGACCCGCGAACGTCGCGATGTAGTACGTCACCAGCGTCACGGAGAACAGCAGCCAGCCAGCCCCGATCAGCTTCCCGCCGTACGACCTGGTGTTGTATACAGAAGGAAGATCAGGCAGAGAAAGACGTTCGTATAACACACACACACATACACACACACACACACACACACGCGCGCGCACGCACGCACACACACACACACACACAGCACACACACACACACACACAGCACACACACACGCACGCACGCACGCACGCACACACACACACACACACACACACACACACAAACACTCGATCCAGAAGATGTCTCTCTCTCTCTCTCTCTGTCTCTCTCTCTCTCTCTGTCTCTGTCTCTCTGTCTTTGTCTCTCTCTCTCGCTCTCTCTCTTTCTCTCTCTCTCTCTATCTCTATCTCTATCTCTCTCTGTCTCTCTCTGTGTCTGTCTCTGTCTCTCTCTCTCTCTCTGTCTCTGTCTCTCTGTCTCTCTCTGTCTCTCTCTCTCGCTCGCTCTCTCTCTCTCGCTCGCTCTCTCTCTCGCGCTCTAAAGGATATACCTAAAGGATGTTTAGTGTTTATGCAATACAAACCAACAAACAAGCAATAAAAATACTGCTCATATATTTAGGTCTTTCAAACGTACCGTGGTACCTTTTCCAGGCCAGTACTGACTGGCTACACAAGGTGTCAAGGTAAGTTAAGTACAGCCAAAGAAGTCAGGACTTCCTTACGTACCTCGGTACTTTTTCCATACCCTGCAGGACCAGGGCGCGGTAGACGAACCACGGGCTGTTCCTGAGACCGTACGGGTCTGCCAGCTCGTCCCCGTCCTCCTCCCTCCCCACCCGCCGGTTGTACAGGCCCCACTCGTACGGGTCCAACTTGTTGATGGCGTAAAACGCTAGGGTCACGCAGGCGTAGACGGCGATGACGTACAGCCAGGTGAAGTTTTGCAGAGGGGTCAGGAGTGTGATGACATCAACTGCCTGAAAGTAGAGAGTAGAAATTAAAGACAACTAAAAAAGTAGCGTTTTCCTTCACCTGGTCTAGCCCAACAAACTACTGCTCTGTTTATTCTTACTCAAAGCCAAATACATTCATATATATGGTGAGCAGGCTCTCCGACTCTGCCCTGCTACAAAATGTAACCCAACACCACAGGGTGTTGCTACAGTTCTAGCTACCATGGTGACGGACGTCTGGTCCAGGTCATTGACCTTATTTGTTTAGAGAAGAAGAAGAGGAAGAAACTGAGCAAAAACGATATGTTTCCTTCTGCAAAGATAAACATAATAATAGAAATTTCAAAACAAACTTTGTCCTTTCCTCAACACATTCAACAAACCACAGCATATTATTATTAAACTCTAGGAAATAGGAACTGGAAGACTCTACAAAAAGGTGAGATGAACAGATGAACCATAAACGTCATATACCAACCTTAGATTTTGGTTTCTTGGACAGGACGGTGTAGCCCAGGTTGAGGACGGACTGGGTGATGTCTACCTGCTCGGAGTAGTTCAGCGGAGTCAGGATCAGCCCCATGTCTTTGGGTTTCTGAGCCTGGTAAATACAGAGACGTAATAGCCTTTATGAAATAGCTCGTTATGTACTTATTGATAGTGTTTAGCACCAAGGAGAGTAACGGTCGCTCCTGTATTGATAGTTTTCAGCACCAAGGACAGGGGCAGTTGTGCGTGTAGTTATAGCGTTTAGCACAAAGGACAGGGGGAGTCATGCATGTATTGATAGTGTTCAGCACCAAGGACAGGGCTAGTTGTACATATATTGAATAACATTCAACACCAAAGACAAGGCCATGTGTGTGTATAATGCATGAAAATCTACCTCATTTGCAGGAAGCCAATATTCGTCAAATATTATAGAATGACGCATACACTTGTTGTCTATTACGCAATTAATTAAGACAATTTTTAAAACGAAACGTTACAACTGTTCTCACAATACCAAAACAAATGTTGCAATACTCACCCCTTCCACTAGTGAGTCTTTGATTAACTTCCCCACATTGCTCACGCGTGCCACCGTCAGGTCGAAGTCGAACTCCAGGTTCCTTGCTATGGTGTTGATGACGTCAATCAGATACCCTTCGAACACGCCGTTACCCGTCTTGTCTTTGCTGTTCTCTGTGAAGTTCACAAAGACGCCTTGCTGTAAAAGAATTTAAACCAATTAAAAATGTTTCAACAAACCCACTTACTGATTTCTGATTTTCCTGCAGTGCACAACATCTACATGTATCTTCAGTTAGGATACTGCGCTATGTCCTAGCCACTAGTTCTGCTCAAATAAGGGTCACAACATTCAGTACAGTGAGCACTGTATATACAGTTTGATGATATACCTTTATGTATACTGAAATACATAACATTTACTTCGTCCATTAGGTGTAATTCCAAGTACTTTTAATGTTAAGAACAAGGGTTTTAATTTTAATATCATCACTTTCAAAACCATTGGTTATCGCAAATTCCGTTCCTCGCGAGCTCATGTCTTCTGATTGGATGAGATAAATCACGTGACATGTGACACCTACCGTGTAGGTTTCTATGTGGAACATCCGTTTAGCGGCGAAAGGAAGAGGGCGGTCCTCGGAGTACTGGACACCGCCTAGACTGGCGCCATCCTCTGTTGACCAGTTACCCACCTGTGCACATGGACGGATGTATACTTTAGAGAAAATGCTTTGAATAACGCATGGCGTTTGGTTTCAGAAAGGCCATGTGTAAATCAGAAATTGACAGATATGTTTTGGTAGCACGTTGACAGAACATACTGCGCCTGTGCAAAACCCGTATCATATATTATAAGTGTTTCTTGCATTGCTGGACATTTGAACATTGAACTCTTGGATTTTTTATGTCATCCCTCAGTATATACGCGTAAAGGACCTTAAAAGAGGCGTACTGCAGATGTGCTATGCACAATACATTGCGGGTTTCGCCCGGGCGCATTACGTTCTACCGACATGCTTGTTTTGGTAAGTAATAAAAAATGTCGTTTCGTATTTACTTACAGATTGCAGAACGCCGTTGTTGAACTCAGAGATGTCGATTCTGAACTTCGTCAGGTATCCGTCAGGACCGAACGCCCTTCCACCGAACTCCATGCCCTGGAAAAGAAAAACAGTGCTTGACAAAAACCCGTCTTGTGAATCGTCACACTAATCAGAAAGATTAAAAGACAGAAAGACAAGACAGAAGCACCCTAATGTTTCTCACACTAGTGTTCAGCACCAAGGACAGGGCTAGTTGTACATGTACTGATAGTGTTCAGCACCAAGGACAGGGCTAGTTGTACATGTACTGATAGTGTTCAGCACCAAGGACAGGGCTAGTTGTACATGTACTGATAGTGTTCAGCACCAAGGACAGGGCTAGTTGCACATGTACTGATAGTGTTCAGCACCAAGGACAGGGCTAGTTGTACTAGTACTGATAGTGTTCAGCACCAAGGACAGGGCTAGTTGTGCATGTACTGATAGAATTCAGCACCAAGGACAGGGCTAGTTGTGCATGTACTGATAGAATTCAGCACCAAGGACAGGGCTAGTTCTGCATACATCAATAGCGTTCAGTATAATTGACAGATCTAGTCGCGCATGTATTAATAGCATTCAGCACCAAGGACAAGACCATTTATGTGTATGTATAATGCATGTGTGTACATAGAAAAATCTTTCTGAAATATCTCGTCGAAACCAATGTCCACAGAAGTACTTGTTGACTATTACACGATAAAGACAACTGCTACGACAAAACGTTACAACTTTTCTGACAATAACAAATTCAAAGAAAATATGCTAATTTTGCTCACACTAGTCAATTCTCCTCTGAGAGTTTCTCTGCAGGCGTCCTCTTTTACGTCTTCGGAGAACTTCCCGATGCCTTTGGCAATCATGGCGATGGAGTCTATCACCAGTGCCTTGTAGGTTGTGAGTCCACCTGGAAAAAGTTGAAAATAGATTGAATTACCATGGCACTAGAGTTAAGATAAACATTTTTTTTGGAGTGGATCAAAATTTGGAAGTCTTCGATGCAAATATCACTCTTGCGATTACTAGCAAAATTTGTTACTTATAAATCCTGGATGGAATCTAAGGATAAGGATAGGATGCAACACAACTTATGGTATTACTACTTAACCGAGATGTCCTTTAGACAACTGTAACTATGTTTAGTGCATTGTATGATGTGTATGTGTATATTTTGTATATTTTGTATATATTTTGCCTCTTGGTCATCAATAAAGTTTTGTAAAAAGAAAAGGGTTGTGAGTCCACCTGTCACCGACAGGGTCTCCAGCTCCTCGAACCCCCCGGCCAGCCGGAACGTGGTGATCCGGGCATTCGTGGGTCTGTACCGGCTCAGGTCCAGCTCCTCCCAGATCTGAAGGGGAACGACATACGGAATTCTTTTCTTGCTCACACATTAAAGAAAATGGTACAACGCAAACGTACATGAAGGCCTGCAGGGGACTGACTTCCTAAGCATCTTCGGACACGAAGAAGAAGCCAACAAACAAACAAACAAACAAACAACAAACAACACAAAGTGGTAACACACTCAAGTAGCTAAGACTTATTTAACACTACACGGGGTGTTGGAGACAAACTCACCAGGTTGGTGATCATCCAGTGGAAATCAGGATTCAGCATGACCAGGTTTACTGCCTATGACAGAGAACACAGTCATTTAATAAAGGGTCAATGTCCCGCCCTGAGGTGTATATGGTGGGATAATCCCTGCTCAGGTGCGATAACCACCTCATAAACCACCAGTGATTATATCACCATATACACCGAGGATAAGGCGGAACATTAAACGTTATTACCATGGTCGACGCCTTCTGGCCATATGATAATAGGCCTTATAAGTATAGATTAGATTATACTCTCATGTGTAGGTCAATGATAAATCAAGACGTAATAACTCATGTTTAACACCAGTGGTTATGAAGATGTACCTGCTGGAAGATGGAGTCAATGACGTTGATCTTGCTATGAAGTACAATATTCTTAAACCCGGATTGCTTAATCTTCAGTAGGACTGCCGCTAAGTCGCTGTCGCTGGCGTTCCCGGGGATGAGGAACGCTCCAAGCCGGATTCCACTCTGTGTGACTCGTGCCAGGATGTCTTCCGCGCCTTCTATGTCTGAAGAAATATACGTAGAAATGCTGAGGTTGCCTTTTTTAACCCTTGTCCTGCTGGCATTTTACACAATATTTTTCAATATGTGATGTCTTAATCAGGTCACAGACCCTTGACTTTTTTGCTCTCCGGTGGAGTAGTCACTTTGCGTTTCGCTGCGATGTGATGCTTTGCATGAAAAACACCCCTAAATCGTAACTATACATGGTGCTATATAGATGGTACTGTATGTGCAGAACGACAATTGTTGGGTTCCGCAGGACAAGGGTTTTGATGATATCAATGTAAACATGACAGCGTGACGGCATGCATAATTTTTGCCACGCGAATGTTCTTTTCAAATAATATTCATAATTTCCATTGATTGTGATATCAGAAAGAACTTTCAATTTATAACTTGTGCTGATTACAGTATTACTAGTGTGTCATTATCAGATTACTATACCCAATACCCAAATTATACGCACTGAGGGAAAAACTTTGTTTGTTTGATTGTTTAAGTATACCTGTCTACCTACTTAGAGATATCTTTGATTCATATTTTTCACCAAACTAAGACAGAATATTTTATTCATGACTATGTCTAAAATATATGTTTTTCATTATGTAATAGCTACTTTTATATCCTTTTTATTCTTACATGTAATTTAAGAACTGTTTTTATGTATGAACTCTTATACAACAAGGCATTGTTCAGCCTATGGCTGCCAGTTCTTTGTTTTAACAATAAACCGTTTAATTGAATATCTGGCCCATTAAGTGATTGCACTTCTTTTCAATGGGGCTCTGTTTTACACAACAAAACACAACAGTCACATACAAACAGTAAAATTGGGATACAATAAATAATGATAATGGCAATGATAATAAAGAAAAAAACAGTAACTAACCAATAACAATGATAAATAATGCTGATAACAAAAAGTACAAATTGTCCAGTCCAGTCATTGTCCAGTGCAGTTTGTTAGTATGGAGGTATCTTTAATCTCCAAGCAGATCTTTCGGTTACAGACTGGCCAATTTGATACTGTCTTACCCCCACCGAAAGATCTGCTTGGAGATTAGGTATCTTACCGTACACGCCGTCATACAGCATGGCGACAGTCTTCCAGCCGTATGCGGTGACAATGTCAGTCATCATCACGTTCAGGTCCCTCGGGTGGGGTCTCATGTAGAAGTTGGTGACAATGTCGGGCGGCTGGTCGCCGGGTATCCTTTGTGGGTTTATGTAGATTCTACAGAGGAAAAAAAACAGTCTTTAGAGTCTTACCAAAAAGGTAACAACTGTTCTAATCAGAACCATAACTTATGTACTTCTGACACTATCAACGCTATATGTATAGGAGGTGGATCTATAAGATTTTCTGGAAAACATTCTACACACCTTGGTATACTGATGTTCGTGGCAAAAGAAAACACATCCCCCATCCTGGCGTCCTCATCGCCAAGCAGAATTAGTGCGCAGACCTTCCGGTTCAACAGGTACCTCGCTGCGAGGGACAAAACGTACTTTCGTTGTAGCTCATAGATTTCATTTTGTCATGCTAATATATCTGTTAATATATCCATGACATCATTTGTTCATATGAAATAAGAAAAGCCCAGAGATTATTTTGTTGTTGGATCTATGTTTAGGCCACCTTTCAAGAGTTCTTTCATTTCGCAATTCATGAGGTGAACAAAGGTATTAAAGATTTCCACCTGATATAATAAACATCGTTACATGCATATATAGTAGCATAGTACTGGCATCCCGTTCCTAATGCGCTTACAATAGCATCTTGATAAGGCGATTTCTAGTATAGCCTGCAAACGTTTTAACGGGCAACGTTTGTGCCTACTAGGGCGATGGTTTATTTCCGGTGAAAAGAGCTGTATCCGCCCGCTTATGATACATCTCTCCCCCGATACAGCTGACCTCATAGAGAGGAAACCATACTTCTCTATCCGCGGTCTGCGCCTGAGACTAATTCTAGTACAAGTACCTGCTTGAACGGCACACATGGGGGTGTCAGCCAGGGTGTGTAGCGGCTTCAGCTCGTGCAGCACATCTTTGATGTTGTAGCCGAGATGTGAGACGGCGCCGTCCGCAATGTCGCAGTAGTCGGTGTGGTCCGACGTGCATGTTTTAGCGTCCACCTCTGACGGCTGGCACTGGCCCGAAACGTGCACAACACCTGAGAGCATTACACGTTAACAGACATTACATGTTACTACACATTACATGTTACTACACATTACACGACACGTTAACACACATTACACGTTAACACACATTACACGTTACTACACATTACATGTTACTAGACATTACACGTTAACACACATTACACGTTAACAAGCATTATACATGTACGTTAACACACATCACACGTTAACAGACATTACACGTTAACAGACATTACACATAACTAGACATTTCACGTTAACAAAAATTATACGTTACTAGACATTAACAGACATTGCACGTTTACAGACATTACATGTTTACAGACATTACATGTTACTACACATTACAAGTTAACACACATATCGTTACCAGACATTACACGTTACCAGTCATTACACGTAACCCGATATTACACGTAACCCGATATTACACTTAACCACATGTTACTACACATTACATCTTATCACACACCACACATTATTACAGATTACTACGAAATTATAAGATAACATGTAGCTCCGATACAAGTGGTCCACATATTTCGGATCGCATGACAGTGTTTTAGACTGCATTTCCCCACCCAAATACCCGGAAAGGTACAACAGCTTGGCACTTAGCACCCGAGTGCAAAAGATATTGCACGGATGAGATAACCTATTAAAACATGGAGGTACGTGCCATTGGGATAACGTTTACCAGGGTGCATGTCCTTTCCCAGATGGGCTAAATACAGTAGTTATACCATTGCAACAGAGTCGTATAGCATTACCTGTAGTGTTGATAGTGAACAAGGGGTAGGCAAAACTAAGCGTGTGAATTTATATTTTTTTTATTCACATAATTATATTTATTGAGTATTAGGCAAAACGCAAAGATTGCTTATGTGACGCCTTCTACTCAACATTTTTAAACTTATATTGACACTATCTTATACATGCCAGATCTATCGTTAATTAATGCACTGATCCCATGACAGATGTATGTTGACTAAGATAAGAGTGATCTTACCTGCATAGAAGGTCGAGGCGCTGGAAGCGGAACTCACGAACACAAACAGCAGCGCCGTTGACAAAAGCTGCATGGTCCCTACGTATAGAACAAAACTATATAATTCACGTCTATCGCTTCAATGTTCCTCTTGTGAAACGTATAGGCTTACATATAGTACACTGTAGATAAGTAAACTCGACAGCATCGATCCTGTTCATAAGACACTGCTCCTAGCTGCTTTTTGTTTTGTTGCTCCTTTAAATTATGAAATTGAGCCCTGATTTTCTAAGAGCTACTTTGAAGGCGAAGTCGAGGGAAAAAGTATCGCTTACTTCAACGTCTATCGACAAGAAAAACAAATTCCTTCTCCCTTTTTTTTTAGAAAACCTTGTAGTATCACCCCACTCCTCTCCACCAGTTGTTTTAGTGATGCGGCTCTACTCGACCTGTATCAGTATAACCGCCTTATACTGAGCACCTCAGCTAGATATAACTATCTCACTAAAAGATACAAGCTTTAAAGATACTGTACACATTTAACAACTTAGAGGAGTCCTTGCTGCGAATTAGCACCTTATCTAGTCTGCCGACAACACCATTAAAACGAAATTCCTCAACACATTATTAGATTGCTAATGCCATCTGAGTCAGACCACTTAATGTGGGAAGTGTATGATGAAATATCGTTTTGTATTAGATTACACAAACTAGTGCAGCTCCCAAGGAGACTACAGGGCTTTTACGCCTGATGCGATTTTTCCTCCACAAATTTGGTTATCAAGATGACAGTTCCAGTCCCATTTGGTGCATAATAAAATCGTCACAATGCCTAATTGCCTAATTGCTCCCAAATCACTTTACGCGAAGGCTGATTTTTCATTCACCCAATAATCTCATATTTCCCAACAATTTCTGTGCGCCGTGACTATATAGGTCTGATCATATGGAGGTAAAAAAAAGCTGAACATGCACGAATCTATAAAACGACCACTGCAATTTCTTGTTAGAACAGAAATATCAATATTACGATATCGTGGAATGCATCACCTTTTTTTCAATATTCAAGCAGAGAGCACATGCACTGATACGTCTAATGCATACCATCTCCATCATACCTGTGTAAGTTAAACGTACACTTTGTGAACATATCATTTCCTTTACATCAGCATGCATCAAAGGTGTCCAATCAAGAACAAAGAGAGGTGTTCAATAGAAAAAAAATAAGACTTACGTGCTCTGCACTGTAGTCTCCGGGTTTCAAAACGATAGTAGGGCCGCCCTCTCTTCACCCTGGAGCACCCACCTTCTGAACCCCGCACGGCAAGAACTAACATAGGACTTCCGGACCATTATGGGGAGTACATGGCGTAATGTGTGGCAGAAAATTCGTTATGATCAATTTTTGATGAGGAGATTGGCGTAATATCAGAAAGTACACTTTCAGGTCTGCTCCCCTGGGAGGGGGGTCAAACGTGGATATAAAAGCAACACGTGGCCAGCGGCCAGGGGGTGAAACATCCACCTATCCGATATTACTTCATCTATAAGGGTAAGAAGTAACATTATGACGGTTTTTTATCATTTGATATTTAGTATATGATCCTGGATGAGCTTCAGGCGTTAGCTACAAGCCTCTAACAGGCTTCATAAGCGAAGAATAGAACGTTGCCAAATAACATGCCAGGGGAGTTGGTAGCGGTAGCAAATTGTTGTCATTCAGCGGATAAGTCTCTACAGCATTCCTGAGCTCCAACGCCATGCGTGCACGGGGGTCTGCAAACCAAAATAGATGAAAATCCTGGACACAAGATTGACTAGTCTTAGCCATTCAACAGCCGGCTCTCCACCCCCGACCCTTCCAATCTAGGAAAACATACACCTAAGCTGTGTGTACCAAGGTTTCTTTCATTGCAATCCATGCAGTTATCAGTAGAGGGTGCTTTTCTCAAGTGAAAATACACGAGACCCGCTGTTTTTTGCCAGTCTAACTCTCGGTCTGTGTACCAAATAGGGTGAAGTGTGTCTTGGAGAAAGTAATCCGTCTCAGCCCTTTCAAAGAGTCTCTTTACTGTCAGCAGGACAAGTCGTAATTGTCATCATTTCCATAAAGCTTTACATTTGTATTTTTCTGTAATGGCCTTGGCTTGAAGTTGGATAGATTGCGCGGGTTTCATTTCAGCTTGACGTCTTTCTGCACACCTTTGTAAGCATATTATTTTATTTACAGCAATTGTCCTTGGCAATTGTCGAAGATATTTGTTCAATAAGTTGACTTTCTGTAAACACTGTGGACTACACACGCCACGATAAAAAATTATGATACGTTTCCTTTTCTATATATACTTTGTATCATTGACACTATAGAAATCTATCTAGTAAAGTGCTTTACACCTCGTTTGCTAGCGCACCTATGCAAAAGGGTTTGTTTGGATTATTTTATCTAGAGAGTCAACACGGCGTAACTGTAGGTCAAAGTGCAGTTCTGCTGTATAAAATGCCTGCCTTCACCAGAACCAAGATCACCCTTGCTGCGTGGTTCTTAGGAGTGGTGTCCCTAACCCAAACCGGCAGGCTCCTACCCGATCCCCCGCCGCCCACCTGGCCCTCAGCCTTCTCAATAGCTTTCTACGAGGAGATCTTCGTTTTCGTGGCCCCGATCAGCGGCAATGACGGCGCCTGGCACTACGACTATGACAACGGGAGGGCGCGGTTCGACCATCTGGAGGGACAGTCCAACAGCTTCTGCCTGGACAGCGACATGAAGCTGAAGGACAACCACAGCGACTGTCACCTGATCTTCACTCCCACGGACATGTACGTGCATTACCCCGGGGAGGGACAGTGTTGCCGGGCCTGTGGGCCTGCCGAGGGATGCACCGTTCTCAAGCCGGCCTGGCTGGCAGGGGCGAAGTACCTGGGGCAACAGAACATCAGCGGAATGGTGTGCCATGGATGGGAGAAACAGGGCGCGGTGGCAGCCGACAGGTTCGTTGTGTCAGTCGTCTCGTCTACTTTAATAGAATTTTACATTGATGTGTATTTATGGTATGCGTAAAACAAAAAAATTCTATGGTCGGCATGGGTTATCAAATTGACCTGATTGGACGCTCCCGGTGTCAAGCCAAATACTATACATGATCCTGCCAACTAAATGACTCCGACACTACTTGGGGGTTTCCAATATACCTGAGACAAGGCGTGGGAGGGGTTTGGTCGTGATGTGGGAGTCTAACCTAAACTAACCTAACCTAACCACAATCGTAAGTCTAACACTAGCCGTGAACAATGATACCAACTCTAACTCTAATACCAACCTTAAACCGACCTCTTACGTATGTGGCAGTATAAGGATTTGGCTCAACACCGGGCATGGCAGAATGCGAACTTTCTACTGGCAGTATGCCAGTCACACTAACCTTTACAATCCCCTGAACAAAACACCTAGTTATGACGTAGGTGACGATTCACAACGCACAAACTTGTGAACCGCCTTATAAACGTCCCTCCTACAGGTGGTACCAGACAGAAGTGGGGATGCCCTGTCAGTACTCGGAGAGCTTCAAACAGAGACCAGAACTTCACACAGTCACCTTCAACAACATCAGCTACAAGGTCGGACCCATCAAGGATAGCGTCTTCCACGTGCCCAAGTACTGTAACCGGACATGTCCGTCACCGTACAAGCCTCCTACTCGAGTTTCTGGGTTTTAAGAAACTTGTGCTTTATTTTTTGTTAAACGCATCTTACAACTGCATGGCATTGAAGGTGTGTAAGACAGGTACAAGGTACCTGACTTTGGTTGAGGTGGTTAAGGATGGCAGAAGGAGAGGAATGGGCTTTACCTTGCAATACTATGCCCTAGGAAAAAGTCTATTGGACTACCTTTTTTTTACTTACAACAGAGTAAGTAATAAAGAGACAAATGTTTCAGACATGAATGGTAAAAACAAAGGTGCTCACATAGAAGTTCATAAAATGACCTTTATTGAGTACTGTTACTGATACAGAGAATGGGAATCAGCATGCTAAAGAAATGGCAGCATCTGCTCTACAACAATGTACTATCCCTTGTACAGTTCACAAACTGTCCATCCAACTATTAATGATTAAATACATGTACAATGTATTTATGAACAACATCCAAAATCTTCTAGACCGTCACTTGAATGTTGGTGGTGGTATACTGCAGATTTAGGTGGCTGACAATACAGTTGTAGTACCATTGAGTTTGGAATGCTAAAATGTCCGACATGCTGGGTGAAAGTTGCATATAGCATACAGGGAAGTATCAGTGGCATTACCACATCAACTTTTATTGAAACCAATGATATTTAGTACAGAAGAAAATAAAAGAAGAGGGGGCCAGAGTTTTACTGTCTCTGTGAAGACTGGATCTGTTCCTTGAGGATCATGATGCTCTGTCTCTGTTCAGGAGGCAGCATGGCGATCTGCTCAGGAGAGAGCTGAAGAACCTGCATGATCAGGGCAGCCTGGGAGAAACAAAATCATTCATGTCAATCTTAATGTATAGATTTGTATCAGGATGTGTTGGCAAAAAAACGTCTACAACAAAGATTGTTTAGTGATTCTTTGTGAATAACTTTGCAAGACAATGTATCAGAAGGTTAGTTCTATATTCAACAAACAGTGGGTTTTTCACATCCCACATTTTGGTGACCTTCCACATTCTTCTTGAAGTTTAACAGTCACCGAAATGTTGGATGTGAAAACCCCACAGGTTGTTGAATATACAACCTTCTTATAACTGTTCATGTAAATATTAACATTGAGAAGTTCTTACAGCATTATCTGTCAACCCACAACCCACGAGAGGCATATTAAAGGACGAAAATGCTCTATTCTGTTTCATTGTACTTTTTAAGTGTTCCCTATGTTGTACATGCAACTATTAACTAAGGATATTTGTCTTTGACCAGCTCTAGCTTAATAGATACAGGAATTTCCCTACCTTCTCCTGGTCAGCTGGTGTGGGGTTAGAGTCGGAGTGTGGGGACATGTGAGCTCCACCGCCGGGCCCTCCCCCTCCCATGGGTCCCTACAAACACAAACACAGGTCAGTATTACAACAGTCAAATACACAGGCAGCTGAGGTTTCAACCACGTTTACAACTTGGCTTAATACAAAATGTGACTAGAGTGTTATATGTTCTACAAAAGGAACAGCAATGCCTCCAGAAAGGGAAGGCATTAATATTGTTTAACTGTTATGTAGAGGAGGCAAAGCTAACATTCATAGCAAAACCTTCAGATTAAGGATGGTGCCACTCTAGACATTCAAGCAGAAGATAGTACTTTTCAGATAGATAGAAGATAGTACCTTTCAGGTACAGAAGGCAAACTAGAGGACTGCTACACAGTACACGTACATACATGACGAAAAGGCCATGAAAGGCAAGACTTTAGAAGTCACACACAGAGGTAGAAATTAGAAAAGTCCAAACTAAGGACCATGCCCGCTAGTGGCCTATATACAAAGTATAAAGGACAAAAAACTTTTTCAACAAGGCCTATGGTTGAGAAAGGGGAGTAAACCATTCTCAATGCAGGGGGGACAAACTATTTATTCAACAGGACCTTGAGAAAAGACCGTACCATTAACTGGTCAGCCAGGTTGGAGATGCTGCTGGGCAACTGGAGGGAGTGAGATGTCAGTAGGCAGGACATGTACATCTGATGGTTTACTGCTAGTTCTCCATGCATTCATACAGTACTTACGGTATAGTTTTACACACACATAAAACAGTTTCTCATTCAGATTATCCTGATTATTTTGTGCTAACAGGACTTTCCCACACTGGTAAATAAGCCTAAAGAATGAGACGTACCCAAATATTCAGGTTAGTTAAGAAAGGGGATAGCATCCTTAGAAAATGGTTTTGTTGTTGCCTTTGGCTTATACAGTAAATGGCAAGATACAACAAATTGGTGCAGATCCAGCATCTGCATGTAAATGCAGGTCTTAGAATTAGGACCTACTATACAGCTATGATGTACATTGTAGAAAAAACTATAGTAAAAATGCACTCTCAATTCATGGCAACATGCATACACGCACACATCATATAAAACCTCAACAGCCAAACTAACCACATGAATAGACACTTAACTTTACTCACTACCCAAGCCTACAGATGTTTTATTACAATCATGTCTTTTTCAACATTGGCAGAATGTACATGTACTATACCTGTGCAAAACCCAGATTTTTCAGTTTGCCTTGGTTGTTTTGTCAACGTTGCATAAAACTTTTTCCCATTGAAACAATACATTTTCTGACACAACAGTTGAAAACTACAGACAGGATGTCATCCTTAATCTTAGATGAGACATTCTGCTGAAGTGGCATGCATACTAGTACGGGTTTCGCACAGGTGCAGTACGTTCTGCCAACATCCTCTGTTTCACCAGATACACCCCTTCCATGTATGTACAGTAAACAGTAAGTCCTTACCCCGGGTGCATTCATCCTCTGTGGCGGTCCGTCAGGCCCCCGTGGGTTGGGTCCCCGGGATCCCATCGCCCTAGGGTCAGGCCGGCCTGTGGGAGGGGCAGATACATCATTAAACTCTGCAAACTACTGAGCAATGTCCTCAGGGTTCTTCTGACAATCACTACAAAACAAAAAGGGGGTTAATGATAAGCAAATGCAGTACTACAACTTTCTTTCTATACCTTTTATGGTTGCTTGTTGGTTTGAAAAATCATCTTAACAGTCAAGAATGATCAACGTGGTGCTTTTTTTACTTCTTTCAAGGTATTCAACTGGAGTAACAAGTAAAGATGTATTTCTCTATTTGTAAGCTTTGCATTTATGTAAATACAAGTAACAAAACATGTAGTGACTAAACTGGTTAAAGAAACATCTTGCATAAAATAAAAAAAAATGTTTAACCCTGTTCCTGCTGGTATATACACAATTGAGTAGATGGAGTACAAGAGGAAGGAGGTAAAAGACATACATTTCCACTCTTCAGCATAAAACACAAATTGTGTTTAGAATCATATGACAATACACACAGTTTTCATTTGATCAACCATCACCATTGCCACCATAATTACAGTGCAGTGAATCAGTGCTTGAAATTTCCACAATATCCACAGATTAAAGGTCACAAATACAAGTGGTGCATCATAGTATATTATTGGCTTCTTTCAGTTTCACCTCTTGAACAATCTTGTACCAGCCAAGTGACTTTTTTATGACCAAAGATTAGTGAGCAGATAATAATTCAATGTAACAAGGTCTAACTACAAGCTAATTGAAGCCTTCTTTACTATATGATCTGTCATAAATTTAACTTCATAACATAAAAAGTCCTCTGTCTAGATGCTTCAGGATCAACTTTGGTGAAATTGATATATTCAGAATTATTACTAAACTTACAGTTATATTCTAACCTCTATTAGTCTAAAATGCTCAGAATGACTGTACTAGGAAAGACACTGACTATGATATGAAATTATCATAATTCCAAGACCCAGAACCAACTTTGAAAACAACTTTATTTTTTTCTTCATGAAAAGAAAAACAATTGTCCCCACTACATCTGACACAAAGAAGCTTACAACATGTAGTGACACTGACAGTGTTCACAACATTTACGTCTGCAAGCATATTGGCAGAATGTACTGCACCTGCGCAAAACCCAGATTTTTCTGTTTTCAGTGGATGTTTGGTCAACATTGCATCAGAATTTTACCGGTTGCTGATATCTTTTTCGACACGACATCTGAAAATTCTAGACTGGATGTCATTCTCAAATATGCAAAATGACCTTAAACAAGACATTCTGCCAAAGTGATACGCAGAACTCATTATGGGTTTTGCACAGGCGCAGTACATTCTGCTGACATGCTACCTCTGTGGTGCTTGTATGTCTACATACTCCTGTTGGGAGGGACATAGAAATTATTTCTAAAGTCCTCGGGAGTAACAAACCTCGGTAGTGTCCTTGATCTCCGTAACCCCCATCGGGACCTCCATGGAAGCCTGAACAAGACACAGCCAACACTTGTGTTTATTAACAAACAGTCGTTTATTGGTGGTGGTGCAGTCAACAAGCACTGGATCATAAAGTGGGCTTCACAACATTTTAGACAGCTGTTAAATATTCTACGGAACAATTTAAGAAGAACAGCATGGCATTTAATATAGAAATAAAACTGCACAGTTTTTTTTGTAATAATTCTTTTTATTGTTTTACAACTACTGTACTAATTACTTGTACATTCAAATACATGTATACATCTCTCTGATCTGGGAAGGCATTAACATTAACATGGAAAACATTTGTGGAAGCAACTCTGTTTATGGAAAATAACTAAAAAAAGCTAATGCATCGCCATCGTTCGTCTTTGTAGTTGGAAATGCATTTCAATTATTACGCGAGAAGCTAGTCTTCACCATGTGACCATCGAAAATAAGGCGACATCCTTGGTCAACCAAGCCGCAAAACTATCTGTCCTCATTTTATGGTTTAAATTGTACAAGTAGGCACATTTGTAGGTCTGTCATTTCTTTGCTACCGGTTTTTTACTGAGCAAGAATAAAAATACTTGTCTTGGGGACTTCAGGCTTGCTTCAGAGTTTGTATAAAACAGTTGAACAAAAATGATTCACAAGGATAACACTTCTGAAAAGGAGTACCCAGTATCTCAAAATAAATCTGTCTCACTGTAAAAATAAAATTTCCGACACCGAGGATTTAAGGAATACATACTGGCAGGTATTGAAATATGCAGAAAGTATTTATACACAATCATGTATGTAATATACTCATGTCTCTATGATGTACAAGGAATGTGTAAGAGAATAGTAGATGGAAGTATAATATTCAAACCCTTAGATTAAGTTAGTCTTTTTCTATTAACACACTCCTACACACTCCAGGATAAACCCTGAACGTCTAGTATCAGAGGAAGACCACCTACCTCTGGGGTCATGCGGCCCCTGGCCCCTGTCCTGACCCATGGGGCTGGGTCCCCCTGGGTGGGGGCCTTGAGGTCCCCTGGGGTCCATAGGTCCCCTGGGGTCCATGCCTCCGTCCCGTCCCATGCGTGGGTCCATGGGTCCATCTCCCAGGAGTGCGGGCCGCGGTCGACCCATGTCCCCAGGACCGTGGGGGCCTGGAGTTTTGGACAGAACACACTCATTAGGTGTACATTTATTTTGTTGGCTCTCACATTTTTCTGATAAATATACAGAAGCGATAGGAGTAGCCATCCCATGATAGCCCAAATGCTATGATACGAGACATTAACTCAATATACCAGGCTGGTTTGTATATGTATTCAACTGGAGAATTGTTTAAAACTCTATGATATTCATTTTATCATTGGTTTATTGGTTTATACTATAAGTATAATACAGCACAATGATGTCAACAGTAAATACACAACGCCATGACTTTGCAGCCATGAATTTAAAGCATTAAACAATCATCATATAGCTAAAATCTTGAACACCTCTTTACTGCCTTGAAATCCCTTTAAAGTGCCATTAAGAAGCTAGAATGGGAAGGCATGCTGTACCTCTGGCCCGTGGGTCGTGCATCATGGGCTGGTCCATCATGGGTCCACCCTGCATGGGTCCCGGTCCAGGCTGCCCCATCATCGGCCCAGGCTGGCCCATCATGGGTCCAGGCTGCATGGGTGGCCCCCCCGGACCCATGGGCCCCGGCCCACCCATCTGCATCCCAGGCTGGCCCATGCCCGGTCCACCTGCCATGGACACAGACGGCTGCTGGGGCATCATCTGGGACTGGCTTCCCATTGGTGGACGTCCCTGTCAATCATAGTAACAACATGATTAGATACAATCTACAGACACTGGACAGCACAGAATATAAAACATGTAACTTTAGATCCATGGATTGACTTGATGTTTAGGATTTATAAATGGGGAAACACCCTAACACATGACCAGCATTCTGATAATGTAATCTGAGTATCTAGTTGGTATTTCTACTGGTAGAATTGGCAATTCCACCAGATCACAGTCTCTACCCATACACAATACATGGAGGAAAAACTAAGCTACAATAACAAAGTATAATTTATAAACTACTGTAAATACCATATGAGGAGACTGTTGCTGCTGGGGGGCAGACCCTCCCTGTCCTGCAGGAACTAACGGCTCCACCTTGGACGGCTGGCGATGGAGCATTTTCTGCAAACAAAAATTAAACTCTTTAATCCATTTGTACTGCTATGTACATTCATTCGTATCCACTTGTTGTTTGTAAGTACAGTTGGCCTGTAGAAGACTTTATAAACGTTGCTTTACTTTTGTTTTGTCAATGATTTTAGTGATGGATATCTTCAGAATCTGCATGACACAAAAACTGTTACATAATCACCCTCTAGTACAGTTACCTTTACCAATTTTGAAAAAAAATCCATATACATGTACTAAATATACATATTATAAAGATGACTTTCACCCTCTACTGATAAGACTAGGTCTAGATTTTAATTCATTTTTATTTGTGAATTGTGATGGAGGTAGTAGATACAACAACAAAAACATGTTTTCCTAAATACTTTTTGGATACTTCAATTTTTCTATGTTTCATACAGCTCAACTGTATTTCAGAACTGCTAGAGGAACCCCAGCGATCTCTCACCATGGCTACATGTGGGTCGACTATTCTCATGACGACCTGAGCCTGCAGCAGTGCGTAGGCCAGCTGCGGGTTCTGTAGGAGCATGTTCCTCGCCTCCTGAGGGTTGTTCTGGATACACAACTGGGGAAAAGATTTTGAAAATACATGTGAATGATACACATTTGTAGCTGGGTGATTACTTTTGAAAAACATATGGAAGAAACATCCTTTCATGACAAATTATGTTTGCAAGTCTTGGTCCTTTACTTTCATCCTACTAACAGTAACCTGAATTAGAATTTTGAGCCATCAGATAGGCAAATTGTCCCTTCAAAATCAGCCTGTCTAGTATATACTCAACTTGTTATGCTTTTGTCATCCTCAAATGAGATGAAGCATGGTGCTTTTTTAAGTAGCTAAGTGCAAAGCACAGTTTTCGTACATGTATTTAGCATATAAAACCGGATCACAATACTGTAGTAAAGTGAAAACAAAATGTGTAAATGCATCAAGAAGTGGGAGCATTGACCAACCTTCATCTGTTTCATGAGTTCAAACATCTGTTCAGGCGGCAGACTGGCCACAGCCTGGCTGATGGCCTCAGGAGCATCCTCTGGCTGGACAGGTGGTCCATAGGGAGACTGGAGGAGAAAATAACATACATATACATGGTTAAACCTTCAACATAAACTTCATTATAAATCTTACAACAGTGACAGTGAGCATAGATGATTGGGAAATGAGCACATGATGCAGCTATGTATGTATACACATGATGACAGCTAAAAATGAATTGCATGCTCTTTTTAGGTACTAGTAGTTCTTGACCGGTGTGTTAGCTAATATGTTATACTGATGGGTGGTTATACTGGCTATACAGATGATGTACATTTGAATATACTACACTTCCATTTCTTCAAATTAAGGCAGAGAACAGTTTGACAAAACTTACTTCTTGTGAAGGTCCAGACACAGTAAGCTCTGAAGAAAAAGAGAAAAACATATTTGATCACATTATGAACAGTGTACCTAAAATAATAATTCAAACTTTTCACACTGTTACTCAATTAAAACTTGAAGATTTTTGGCTTCCTTATTACTAAATTCTTTTCACACAAAAAATCAAAACTTATACTTCATGAACAAAATTTAGAAAGTTACGTTTGAGTTCCTCCTTGCTCTTCTCGCTGGCTGCGTTGTCCACGCGGAGTTGTCTCCCGTTGAGTTCATGCCCGTTCAGGTTCCTCATGGCACTGAGGGCAGTCTCCTGGTCCTTGTACTCACAGAAGCCATAGCCTTTGGGCTTCCCTGTTTCTCTGTCATACACCAACCTGGGGGAGGGGGGAAAAATAACAGCATTGTACATCATGTATCTATCCCCTTTCCTGCGGAGCCCATATATATATACAGGTTGCACATACAGCACCGACCATATAGCGCCCCGTATACGTACAATTTGGGGATATTTCTTGTGCAACGCATCACACCGCAGCGAAACGCAGCAAATGCAGAAGTAACTATGTCACTGCAGAGCAATAAAAGGCAGATGTCTATGATTAAGACAAAAAATTATTGAAACATATTGTGTAAAAAAAATGACAGCAGGACAAGGCCAAGGGCTATATTTATAGCCACAATTGGGTCACTATAAAACGTGATTAAAAAAAGCTGGCTTTACACCAACCTACCTAAAACTGATGACTGGACCGACTTCGGAGAAGATGTCTTTCAACTGTTCTTCTGTGGCCTCATAGGGAATATTCCCCACTGTAACAGAAAACACATGATATGCCATGTAAGTCTCAAAATTATTTGGAAAACAACATGCTTTTTGTTCAATTCTATCAAAAGAATTATCCTGCATCTATTCACATATGCTTCACATATGTAGATATTGTAGAAATTAATGTAATGTGCCGCTATTTATATAAGTTTTTTTCATAAAATAATGCCTTACCTCATGAGAAACATACATACAGTACATACTAGTACGCCCCCCCCCCCACTCTACCAACGCGGACAAAAGAACTTCACTACAGTACCGCATAAGCAAAATAGAAACAGAATAACACCACCAGCATTATCTATACATTAACGCGATCGTTTTGCCGTTGAGAAAAGTCCCGAATCTTACCGAACACGGAGCGGAGAGAGCGATCTTGGGCAGGATTCAGTCCTTGCAAACCAACAGCCGCCATCTTGTCGAGCTTTCGATGTGAAGGGGTAAACCATTAAACTATGTTTGAAGTGGGCATGTACCATGCAGAAAACTTGCTCAAAAGTTCTTCTCATGAGACAACCAAGCATAACTTTACAGTTATAAAAATAATATAAAGAGTATCATAGTTTTATTTGTTTGTATCATTTATCGAAAAACTACTACTTCCTAACACAGCTCCTGCAATCATGTAGTATAGTGAATTGTCCCTTACAGAACGACCCAGGAGCCTTTGAGGCAAGATGGCTGCCGAGTGCTGAAAAAAAGTTGAAAAGTTGACCAGGTTTGTCATTTATTCGTCGTTACTTTTTCACTGAGAGTGTTTTGTCGTTTTCTACAACATTGTAACTTTATTCCTTTAATTATTGTTTTATCAGCCCAAACATGCATTGAAAGGTTTTATATAGTGCGAATATTGGGACATGGGGAGGGGGGCTGTTTAATCTGTCGTCGGAGTTACGTTTTCCTTCAGGGTAGAGTAAGGAGGTAAAATAAAGGGAAAATCCGAAACAAACCAAACATATCGTGTGGTTGTGTGGTGTGGTGTAACGGCAGAGAATTTGGCTCAGAACCAAGAGGTCCCGGGTTCGAATCCTGCAGAGTCACACAGCAACGGCCAACAGTTTGTACAGCCAGGTGGTAGGACCCAGTACCGTATGGCCTCATTTTTGCCACGTACTGTCAAAGAATGGAATGCTCTGCCTCAGACAACGGTGGAAGCCACATCCGTTGACAACTTTGTGTCTAGGGCTTCCAAACTACATCAGTCTTAGGTTGGTGACCTCTCGCCTCCTTCAACTAAAAGTGACAGAATGATCAACTTGATGATAGCGGTCACTTCAACTGGAAGAGGAAGAGGAACCTTGTGCCCTTTGGAAAGTCACTTTACACGACTTTCCTCAATACTTTGCTAACTTTGATAGTGGGCATTATAGGAAAACCATATAGCTGGTGAGCATTGCATGTACTTCATGGTTAACCGGTTACAAAATTCTGAATTCTTTTTCGTCGTTTTCTACTTCTTTTTATAGCCATATTACTCTAGCATGAAGCCACCAAAGAGAGAGAGAAAGGCGGTGCAGGAACCCGTGTACAAGGGACCCGTCGCCTACAGGAGGAGTACTCTGTCCACTAAATGGAGCCTGAAGGACAAGAAAAAACTCCTGACTGCATTAAAAAGGTAAGTCTGTATCAACAACTTATGAGTAGTTAGGGTTATACTGATAGTAATACAAAATGTAGTTAACTACTAGTACAAGAATCATACATTTTAGATATGGAACAACTTTTATTTATTTGCTTATCATTTAAACAAATGTACAACAGCAGGGGGAGCAGAAGCGCATCCCCCTGAATTAGGTACAATTTGTCACATTATTTAAAGCATCAAACAGCATTCACATAGAAGAAATAATACATATAAACAACCATATATACAAAAGACACATATAAAAAAATTATTTACAACATATATCCACAAAGTTGATTTATCAGGCAATATATGTACGGTAATCCCTTTTATGGTTCATATCTTGAATATTTTGCATCAATTTAAAGTTCATGTACTAATGACAACATGCTGCCAGTGCTCCAAGCAGTCCCCATTTCCAACACTGATCTTTTTTTTAATCATTGCTTTACAGGGTCCGTAGTCATGATGACTACACCATCATCAAGAAGTATGTTAAGAACAAGACAGAAGAAGAGGTGGGTGTTATTGATTCAATAATATTCATATAGAATTTCATAGCTGTCATTTGTAGAAATTATTAATTTACTGTTGATACATGCAAGTCAATAATATTCTTTGTCATCTTCTCCACAGATAAAAGAATATGTGACAATGATGAAGAAAAAATCAGGTATTTCACCATGCAATAAATTCTTTGAAGGTTTTGCATGTTGATATCCAGATGACTATGCCTGATCCGATCTATCATATAAACTTACATGAATTGTCTGTAATCTAAATGTTGGTGTACCTTCTATCCATTCTTTGTCATAAGTCATCAGTAATGGCTGTTAGTATGATTACCCTTAATGTAGTTCTCAACAGTTTAAGTAGTACAGTATTATACATGTGGTTTGTTACATGTTTTTTTTAAATGTTAATTGTGCAGAGACCCTTGTGGGTAAAAGCTTGAAAAGCGATAAGGAAGCTGAAAGAACACCCATAGAGGTTAGTTTCATGTTCCTTCTACACTAAAGTAGCTCACCCTCTGTGTAACTCACTAGTAATGTTTCATTGTTATCAAATTGAAATTCAATGCACATTTGGCATTGTAAAAAGTTTAGAGATCAAACATTATCACATTTACCAGATATACTCTCTGATAAGTGTCCATATTATAATTGAGTAAGTCACATGTTTGACTTTTGGTATGTCTTTATTCCTAGCTTTATATAAGTATCATTCTTTCAAATCAAGATGTTTAAGGATAATGACGTTTCCCATTGTTTCATCAGACGTGGCTGGAGACCTGTCGTGACTTGATGAGGGAGGTTCCCGTGGAGTGTACACAGACATTCTCTCAGGTTAGATGTCTGTACGGAAAAGTACTAGTTATGTGTAGGTAAATACCGGCGCATTGGCAAAGTGAGTAGAGTGCTTGACTTGAATTTGGTAGGTCATGAGTTTCATCCCAGGCCGAGTCATACCAAAGTCATACCAAAGACCAAAAGTGGTACATACATGTACTGCTTTCTTTGTATAGCACTCAGAATTTTCGAGATTTGGTAGTTAAACACAAACTCTACTAGTACCAATGAAATTACCTGCATTTACTGAATTGTCAGGTACATCAGAAAAAGAGATTTTATTCATTGTATTCATAAGGTGATAAAGTTTCCCATTGTGTATTGAAGCTAATGTTCTGTAACAAAAAGTTTCCCATTGTGTATTGAAGCTAATGTTTTATAACAATACATATCACAATGTTAGTACCCACCCCAAGTTAGTGTTTCAATTCAATACTGTACATGTAGTCACTTTGAGTATCACTAGTGTTTGATGTGGACATTAGTGGAGAAACATGATAAGTTTCCAGCTGAACTGTGCCATGTCCCTACCCCCCTACCCTCTGCAGGTGCTGACAGTCGCAGCTGCGGAACCAGCTAACCTGGAGGAGCCGGATGACGCACCTGACTACCCTGCCATCTACAACTACCTGTCCTGTCTCCTCAGGAATGCCACTCCCCCCACACTCGCACCACTTGGTACTGTCTAAAATTCTATTTCTTCACCAAAAACTTTTAGTCTTCAGCGTTTGACATACTTTTTGTTCTCAAGCTACCCAACAGGTAACCTACAGTAAGACAAAAGATAAGTTGCCCATCAGTATTTCAGATTGCCATCAACACTGGCTGTTTATTTTAGAAGGCAAGCCATAAGCCTGAACTGTTAACTTTTTCTACTTTTGATTGTTAGTAAAGTGTTATTCATTTAAAAAAAAACTGTTTGAAGATCTCAACACTCCCTTAGTGTTATTCATTAGAAAAAACTGTTTAAAGTAACAGTCCCATATATAATGATGACTGTACACACATTGTTTCAGATTCTGCAGTAGTTCTGGACCTTCTCCAGTCTTTAGCAGACAGACTGAAGACCACAGACGTGTCCCAGCTCAAGGAATGGCTACAGATGAGATATCATGACCTGAACAAGTCTTACGTCCCGGACAGGCCTTGGCAGAATCCATTCAAACTTACACCAGAGGGTCAGTCAAGCTTCAATATATTTAGATTTACCATAATGGTAGGATTGACGTAACAGGCGACTATCACCTTAATTCAGACTGTAGGGTCTAAATCACACACTGGGATGGACCCTTACTATTTCGATAAGTGTGGTTAGATCTTTAACTTTCTCAAGGTGTGGCTCTCCTCAAACATGGCGCCTCAGGCTTTATTTCTAATCCAAGAGGACATCCCAAACTGAACCGAGGTTCTCATTTTCACCTGAGTCAAGTAAGTAAATGGCACAATACTGGGAAAATACTGGGGCCTCCCAGGGATTCAACCACAGGAAGTCAACCACAAGACCATCTTGCCACCATCTGATTTATAGAACTTCATGTGTTTCAATGATTTTTCATTGTATTTTATTTACAAAATGACTTTTTCTCACCAGATCTCAGCCTTTGTGATCCTCCGTCAAGCGGCCAGAAGAAAGCAGACGACTCGTCAGAACAGACATCAAATAAGCAACAAACAACAACCAGTACACCTCCTGGCCACAACACTGAAGCAGCTACTACAGCTGAAGATCTAGACAGTAAGAGTGCAAATAAGGACACTACAAAAGAACCATCCACATCAACCGTTGAGCCTTCGACGTCTAGTGCTAGTAACAAGACACTAGGAGATGGGAAGAAAGAAACTTCAGATGAACGAAGCACCAAGGAAGTAGAGGAAATCATCTGTTTAAACCCACTACTGGTCCCTACAAAATATCTGGACCTGGAAAAGTTAGACTTTGATAGTGAAGGAAGTGAGAGTGAAGAAGAAGACTAGAATTAGAAACAGTATTGAACATTCTGATTACATTGATTTAAAATAGGAGCAGTTTGTTGCCAACATGTCCAACCCTATGGCACTTCATGTTTTTATATTATGATATGTTCATACTTGTGACATACACAATGTAGGAAGATTTGTTTGTGTTAATAAAACTGTAATGTTTAAAACATTGTTCTGTTCTTCTGACTTATTGCTCTGTATTATAGCCCTTCCAAGTTTACGCATACTTTGTTTGAGGAGAGCTAGTATTGTTTTTGTTCATTTTAAGCAGGAGTGAGGTATTGTGTTGTTTATACAAAACGCCCTAGACCAAAGTTCGCACAGGTGTAATGATCAAAATCAATCCTGTGACCTAAGAGAGGTCATATTAGGTTGTGGTTAAACATATACAGTATACGTAGGGTCGGAATAAAACGCATTATTTAACATTAAGTATACGGCCAACATTGATTCTGCACCTATTCCACGTATTCTATATAAGAGATAGAAAAAAAAAATTTAAATCTTTTCCGTTAGGCTGGTGTTACAAAATTTAAGTGCCTCTGGAAATTTGTATACTGAACCGACCTTTGGTCTGACGACCGGGCCTGTGTGCACAGGTAAGGGAACAACAGTCCATGCCTCAAAAGAGTAAACTGATCTTCCTGTGCATCATAAACATGTATATGGGTCAGTAAGAAAGACCGCCTGTTTCAGCAATGGCATTCATACCCAGGGCGTTACCGTCCCTGCTCATAACAGTATGGATTATCCTGAGCGTCTCGGGTGCACACGGTGTCTTCAAACCCCCGGTCTGGCCCTCAGCGTTCTCGGTGAGGTTTCACGAGCACGAATTTCATGCCTTCAGGCAGCCGCCATCGACGGAGAACGACGGCGCGTGGTACTACGACTACTCAGCCCGGCGGGCCCGACATGATCACTTACAGGGGCAGAACAACACTTTCTGTCAGGTCAGTACTGATAACAGGACCTAGGGCCGTGCGACAGGAACTAGTCCTTTATTATTGTATCTAGAACCGTGTCTTTTTAGTTCTCTGCCTGGATGGGTTAGCGTTAGGATCAGGCAGGCACGATTCTGGATAGTCTCTGCTCATCCAAGAACGTAGATTTGTCCCAGGCTCGGTTCTGTGAACGCGTAGACTATCAAGAGCTTGGTTCTGGATAAATCATGGTTCTCGATACATCATTATTCACTATGAAAAGACCTTTGTCTCGTCCTTGCATATTTTTATACGAAGCTTCGAGACGTTGGAAACACAACTGAAGGTCTGAAATTGGCATCAGGAATGAAGCCATCACGCCTAGCTTGTAGTTAAGGTTGGTGGTGTCTGTTCTTCGTTCTCCATACTCTTACATGTATTTGTCAAACGTGTTAAACTTTGGTTGATCCAGGGACGTGGGCTAAACCTGACAGCCCCTCACGGCAACTGCCACCTGCTGTACGTGAACAACACGGACATGTACGTGCACTATCCCGGCGAGCGGCGGTGTTGCCGGGCCTGTGGACCTGCCGAGGGCTGCACCATGATGTCCCAGACTAACCTGGCGCAGGCCACCAACCCGAACAATGACACCATAAACGGGACGGCGTGTACCATCTGGTCCATACCACCTACGAAGTACCCAATCGACGAGTAAGTAAGGCGCGACATTGCTGTGGCATAGCCTCCTGCGCAGACTTCTAGCGGTGTTTTTTTTTCGAGAGGAGGACCTTTTTTCTTAAGCCTCCACCAGGCCTTTCTACGGGAATACGGATCGTATAATTAGGCAAAAAATGGACAAGGGAGTCCGGCCGCGGGAAGGTAGTTTCTTTCCCTAACTGCGCGGCCAGTCAAACCCCAAGGCGGCCAAACTCCCCTGGCAAGTATTCTCCTATATATAGCCAGCGTAGTTAGTCTGGTAGAGACTAGCCTTGTTCGGGGATCCGAGAGCTAGCTGTATCCGGAAAGAGCTATATCGCCCACGCTATCGTTTGAGAGGCGCAACTTCCCTCGCGGCATACATGCAGCAGATCCCTCTGCCGCATAGACAGCATTAACCCGTGTAAAAATCGGTGCCCCTTCCAAAAAAAAAACCATGCCCCTCCAAGAAGTCTGCGAAGGAGGCTACGGTGGCATAGGATACATTGCAGTACAGTTTACGTACATTTATTGGAGCATTTAATCTAGGAGGCACCACATAAATATTCGGTCATTGCTAATCGAGAAAATGATGTTAGCATATGTTGGGTAAATGATAGTGTCTTGATTCATTTTAACCTACCTGTTCATTTGTTTTGCTTGTTTTTATTTGCTTGCTTGTTCATCGATGTTTTCGTACATTTCAGGTGGTACATGGGTGAGGACGGTGTCCCGTGTTATTGGATAACCGTGCCGATCGTACATCCGTTTATACAGAGCATCCATTCCCTGACGTTTAACCAGTACAGCTACCATGTGGGACCCATACGACAGGGCCTTCTCACCGTACCCAAATACTGTCATAACAGATGCCCAAACCCTTACGTACCACCCGAGTAAAGAAAAAATTCTCTAGCTGGTACATGATCATAAAAGTTCATCTGAGTTGGTAAATTAGATTATGAGGTAACCAAACTGTTTTCCACCTCAAAAATATATTCTTTCGACGGGTTCTCTCTGTTTTCCTCAGCTATCATCTTCAGCTATAACCACTAGAATGTATGATAATAAAGTACAAACCTGATCATAGTACAGCATATCTGTCGATGGATGACTGAATTCGAAGTCACAAATTTATCTCTGTGGTTTTTCCTGATTTGATAGTTGGATACTGGTATATACTATCACTCTGTATTTTACTGAGTATATATTTGTGATCCTGATAAAACCACCTGACTTAGCTTTTGATTGATTTGGTAACACTTGAGACAGCGCCAGATATATATCAGATATATATCATAACCAAAGTTGTAATACGGAGTGCATTACGAGCGATCGCTGTTTTTGTTTACGTCAACTATTGGAAGTTATAATCACGCAACTAGCACTCACCTCTTTGCCTACCACTGACGGGCCGTGACGTCATGGTGACCGCCCGGACATTCACATCAGGTCATGCACTGTCCTTAGATGACCTTGCTAATTAGATCATCAGGCTCAGCAAATGAGAAACAGAATTACCATCTTACGTGCACGAGGCACACCTGGACTGATGTGCCCATGCGCAGTAGGCGGCAAGCCTGCGACTTCGCCATTTTGGACGCCATCAGAGTCACGAATTCTCAGGACCCAGAATCTTTCTTCACAAAGTCATTGAACGTTGCCGCGTTGTCGCTTGTGTAGTGTTCGACTCCTCGAGGCTAAAGAACACCACAGGTATCTTTCTTGGTTTTATTATCTGTGATTTTTTAAAAGTAGTGAATTTCACAATGTAGTCTATCGCACAGTAACTGTTGCAATGTGCAGAACTTTATTTCCAGATGTGGACATTTCACGATTTGGATCCCTCATCAGGCCTTCATTTTTTCCCGCTACAGTGACTCCACCATGAGTCGTTCGTCGAGATTTTTCCACTCTGCCTTAGATTTTCTGCATGCCCTGCACGGCAGAGTCAAGGTAAGGAACACGCGTTTAAAACGTGTCTATTTATCGTGCGTTTGTAGAAAGTTCATGTTTTTCAATTATGGTGTATTATGAATTACTACTATTACAAGTGGTACCGTAGTGCCGCCGCGCCGCGTGCCTGCAAATCTAGTGTGTTCTGCCGGCTATACAGATACAGATCGGTAAATTTGCTATATATGTTTATCTTACAAGTAGAGTCCTGTCTCTGTACTTTACAGCATGCAGTAAAGCCGATCGTAAAGTCCACCAAGCGCAGACCGAAAGCCGTCCGGCGCCTGTCGTCCGAGTCTAGGAACGCGTCTGTGACGGACGTGCCCGAGGAGACCGACAACGCGACGCCGATCACGCGGCTGGTGTGTCAGACCTGCGAGGCCGCCAAGATCGCGCAGTCTGTCACGGCCGGACGGAGACTGGACGTCACCTGTAAGACTGCCCTGGGAACGTGCGTGGTCGGCGGGCTCGTCACGCCACCCAAACTGGAACGAGAGCAGTCCAACAGGAAGTTAGTAGAGCTCTTGAATTTTCAAACATATCTAAAGGCAGTGCGAGTACATGTAGTCATTATTTTTCCAAAATTTGCACCAGTAATTTTAAGAATTACTTCATTAGAATACATTGAAATTAAAATGAGAACGCGAGTAGTCCAACAGGAAGATAGTATTTTCTTCCAATCTTCTATTCAAACATATCTGCATTGTTGTATAGGCAGTGCAAGTACATGTAGTCATTAATTTTCCAAAATTTTCACCAGAAATAAAGCTTTAGAAACTACTCCATCAAAATACGTAATGAGAGACAAAGATAAAACTTTTGACACTAGTTTTGTCTCGAGCACCCCCGACAGTGCATTTTAGCTTCTCCTTGCATCCTTCGATAATAAGATCCACAATGACTTTACAAAAATGATTCACTCCAATAATCCTTTTGCAAATGACTTCTGATGCATCATATTATTTCATCTGCTCAGGTGGATTCCAAAAGTTACCAAACACAAGAGGAAGGCTAAGAAAGAGGTCGCTGCCAACCCGACACCGTCCAACATGAAACAAGAGGCGGTCGCTGTCGCCATTAACGTCCAGCCTCCCTCTCCCCAGAAGGTGAGTCAGCCATCCGGCGGGGGTGGCTGTTGTGGGGGAGGGTGTGGCTGTGGCCCGTCCCAGAACATCGCCCCGCCGATCTCCACCCCTTCAAATAAGGCTGACACTCCCGCAGCGCCTGCACTAGCGACACCGGGCCAGAAGGGGGCGCTCCTAGCCGTAGCGTCGAGAACACCGAGGAAACCGACGCTGAAAGCTCTCTCCACACCTGTCAAAACTCCGATAAGGACGCTCGCCACGCCCTCTCTGCGTAGACGTAGCGCCACTCCTCGCCGTCGGAGCCCGAGGAATACCGAACTTCGACGAGTGGCTCAGGTCGGGCGGGCGGGACGGACGGCCACCATGGTGGGGTTAGGGAGCCTGATGGGTGCTCGGGCGTTCGCTGGCGGGTCTGTGGCTTTTCTCGGCATCAACTTGTCCTCCACAGGTACACAGGCTTCTACCGCGCAGTCGGCGAACTCTCCTAGACTGCTAATAATTGCTGACAAGTCTGAAGGTCCGAGTACACCTGGCAGGTCGCCCTGGAACACCCGCCCTGGGACACCGTACCACAACCACATCAGGAACGTTAGAACGAGGAGCGTCACCAAAGCGCGGCTATCTGCGAGTCCGTTTGCAGGGAGGCTGGGACAGGACAGCGCCCGAACGCCCTCACACCATCAACTTCTCTCATCCGGCCTAAAACCACCCAAAATGCGGTCACCTATTGTGAAAACCATCAGCCCTATCTCCTTCGACTCTGTCCACACACCTGTGAAGACCAAGCCTCGCGGGGTGAGAAGTGCCTTCCAAGTGCGGTTCACCGAAACCCCGCAGGTATCACTCCGCTCCACACCCCTGGGGACGAGAAGGAAGCCAGACCCGACCATGTCTCTGTCGTCTGCTATCAAAGCTGCCGGGATAACCGCCAAGCTGGCTGATGTATCTGATCTAGAGGCAAGTTCGCACCCTTTGTTTCATAAGTTTGTTCTTAATTTGACCATTTAGATATTAAATTTTGTATTGTATATTGTGTCAATATTGTATTTTGACTGTCCTTAAGCGAACATCGCCTGTCTATTCTTTCAGTTTTATGGTAAATGTTGACATTGTTGTTTCTTTTTACAGGATGTCTTTGAGCCACCGAATGTCTTGACAATTACTGCAGTAGGCGCCAACTACACTTGAGAACTGTTGTGCTGTGAATCCTAAACTTTTTAAGGTCTTTTAACTTTTAAAGTCTCTTAAGATGCATCATCATGCTTAAGATTTAACAAGCAATATTCTTATCATATAATTATATAGTCTTTGCTTTAACATACCAGAGGACATAGTGTGTTGCATATTAAATTGTGATATTGAGACCAAAAGTAACATTTGTTATGAAGACCTAGACGTGTTTACTACAATTGATGAAGCTATAATGTTGGAAATAATGCTTGTTATGCTAATTATTGTAAGTTCTTAGCAAGAAGCGTTTTTATTTAAAAGCTTTAAAAAGCTACAAGTTGTTATATTAGTGTGTTGTGTGTGGTTTTAAATCAACTGATTTTATCTGCAATTTTATCCTCTGAATAAATGTCATTTCTATACAGCACAATATCTTCAAACCTTTCTCAACTTTCTTTCATTAAGAAGTCAAGCAGTACAAAAGATATGGCCACTGTGTCACAGGTAAAGATCATGAATTTAGTTGGTAATTCACTAGAAATCACCTGGATGGAGGCCTGGCAAACCCCTGTCTTAGGCACAGTGATTTAAATGATCACTCAGATCACGAAAGGCAGAAAAATGTTAAATAAGTTGCAGGTGGCTGCCTCAAATGAAAGTAAATGAAGATGAAGGACACAGATGACAGTGAGTGCAACAGTTTTCTTGTATTTGTTAAACAGTATTTACATAGCACCAATGGGTGTAATGAAAAAACAACATGACAGTTATTATGGAATTGTGTTGGCTTCTATTGCAGACTGAACTGCCAAAGAAGAAGACATAGCACCAAACCTATGCATGTAAAAGAACCCACTTATTGAGAAGGATAGGGGTGAACCAGTATGCTTTGCAATATATGTATTGTACCTCAGTTGAGGGTGACTGCTTTACTTTTTTTTCCTTAAAAAAAGTCTGTTCTTTTTTCCTGTTTTATGCAAATAATGTCATGACCCATAGATAACAGAATACAGAAAAAGGAATCATGTCTTCTTGGCCTTTGCTTCCCTCTTTCTCCTCCTGGCCTCTCGGAGTTCCATCATCTTCTTCCTCTCCTGACTGTGCACGGTCCGCCGGCGCTCGATAGACCCCAGCTGGTGCTCGATGGCCTCCATCATGTTCACAGCATCAGGAATCTGGACAAACCTGGGACCAACAGCATGCACAAAAAAACTCAGTAACTCATTCCTCCATCCAGCCATACATCTGCACAACAAATCAGTAGTCTTTCTTTGTATATTAATTATTATGTATAGTGCTCCACCAGTTTTTGTGTACAGTATTGTTTTGCAACACTGATGTATAGAGCATCAGTAGTTATGTGCGCAACACGTCTGATTATTTGTTTACTAGTACATGTACTTGTAAACGCAACACAATTCAGATGTACCTCTGCCAGGTTTTTATAATAGAATAGAAGTTGGGAGGAGGAATAGGAGGGTTGAAATCAAATGTAATAAAAAAAACAGCATGGCAGTTATTACTGAATTGTGTTGACTTATATGATGGCACTGTGACTGTCTGCTAAAACAGTACAGTGTGAGTTGCAAAACAATTGCCATTACTGCGATTAATGTCCTCCTATATCATGTACATGTATTGTGCTCCACCAGTTTTCATGTAAAGTATTGGTTTGCAGCATTTATGTATAACAATAGAACATCAGTAGTTACGTGCGCAACATGTCTGATTATTTGTTTACATGTACAATGTACTTGTAAACAGAACACAATTCAGATGTACCTCTGCCAGGTCGATTTTATAATAGAATAGAAGTTGGGAGGAGGGATAGGAGGGTTGAAATCAAATGTAATAAAAAAACATGGCAGTTATTACTGACTTGTGTTGACTTATATGATGGCACACTGTCTGCTAAAAATGTGGGTTCAAATGTAACAGTGGTCGGACTCGGAAGATTCGAGGACGAATCTTGAAAGAAAAGGGGGAGTAGTGTAACAGTGCTAACTGACCATGCTAAATGGTCGTGCGACCTTTTAGTGTAGTGGTTAGCGTTGGTGACCGCCAAGCGGACAACTCGGGTTCGATTCCCGGTTGTGACCTGCTCGCCCCTTTCGGTTTTTACACAAAAACAATTACCAAGGACATTCCTTGCCATTACCATTACCGTGATTAGATTGATTAAGATTTAGAATACGTAAAATTAATGAGAATTCCAGGTTATATCACTGGAAATGTTGCTGTCCACACCACTTACCTGATGTTCCTTCCCTGCACGTAGAAGTCATCAAACTGCACAGTCTTCCCCCTGGTCACGTAATGGAACAAAAGTAGATGTACAGGAGATTATGAAATCGTGCATAGTGGGGCTAATTTCGAGTTTGTAACATTTTTGGAGCACCCAGAGACCACGTCTAGCGACACAATAGACGTTAAACAAGGGCAACAACAACATTTATAATTCATGCTTTCTACTATGCTTGCATTCCGCAGACAGATACACTGACAACTTAATTGTACAGCATCGTATAAGCTAACTAGTTTACAACAAGGTAACTTCTGCTTTGTATATGTAACGTTAACGTATATTATCAAATCAGACGTTACAGCACCCATGCCCACAATGATGAATACTTGACAGTAGGGCAACGCCCCCTCCCCATTATCAATATACGTTGAGCACCAAACAAACCCTTAGCTCTAACCTAGTAAAACATATGTTAGATGTAGTTAAAACACCACCTGCGGTCCGTGTAGGTACAGTATTTCATGGTGGTGTTCATAAAGGCGTCCACATTCACGATCAGCCCGTACACGGAAGCTTCGTCACGGAGTTCCACCGTGGTCTCGTGGCCTTGTATCGCCTGTAGCAGGCACACCAGCGTGTTCTGGCTGATGGCACGCTCTCGTAATGATGCCATGGTTGTGTCTTTATCTCTTAGCGGTAATGTTGTGAAGTTAGACAGGTGGAATAGGCCGCGAACTATGATAATATTGGGAAACTTCGTGAAAAACTTTCAAAAGGCCGCCATGTTGCACGGGTGCATTGTGGGTCCGAATGTTCCATTGCCTATCAAGGGGTGGCAATTTGAATCGGAAGTAGAATCACTCTCCAAGCATGAGTTTTGGGTTTTGGCTTGTTTTTGGCGTGTTTTTAGGCTTCTTTTACATGCCCGTAGCCAGGATTTTGAATGGGGGGAGGTTCTTCCCACTGCTTGAGGGGACCTCGAGCGCCGTAGGCGCGAGGTTCCTAGGGGGGTCCGGGGGCATGCTCCCCGGAAAGTTTTGAAAAATGAACCTTCTAACATGGCATTTCGTGCATTTTTAAGAGGATTTCCAAGAAAAAATCAGAGATAAATTTTATTCCATGAGAAAGGGAGCAGTCTTTCTACAATTCCAGTCCATCTTTTCAAGAAAATCTTGGACCTTT